TCCACGTATCTTCCATTACGGGACAGTCAGTAAATGCATTTCCTCGATGTCATGTTCGAATAAGTGTTGTTTAACGCTCAACAGCTCTAATGTGCAGCTGTCACAGCAGAAATAAGCAGCTGCATTCAGAGTGTGCTGAGTGACAGAAAAAAATAACAGTTTTCTACAAGCGTTCCTCTCTTAGATCATTCGCAATAGCAGCACCTTTTATCTTTTTTTGTTTTTAACCAGAATGCATGTTTATGTTTTGCACAACCCTTCATTATAACAACCTGTTCGTCTCGACTGAAGTAGGCAGCACGCAGTTGGTCCGTTTTGTGCAGAAGAAGGGTCACATAAGAAAGCTTCAGTTAAAGAAAAAAAAAAAACACCATCATGACACCTATTATACCTGAGTGTGGATGCAGGTTTTGTTAAGCTGGTTTACACAAAGAAAGCCTGGCTATCTTTAGCTTTCTTTGTGAGTGACCCATGTTGTGAAAAAGTTTACTATCACAAATCAGGATGAAATAAAACTAGTATTGGCAGCTTAATACTGGAGTATTAATACTCACAGCATCAGCAGTGTGCGAGGATCAGTTGGTGTCGGTTAAACTCGCTTGTCCAACATAAATCGACTCGTTTCATGCATTCAAATGTAGGTTTCTGATCACAATTGGTTCCCATGTTTGCTCCACCTCCTGCCTGACTGGCTGAGAGCTCCAGACACTTGTTCTTCCAACCTGAACACCCTCATCACTGATTGGACTGCCGCCCAATTCGATCATCCAATCACGCTGCAGCAATGGTTTAAAGGTGCACCCACCAGCGTACCTCCATGCCTCTCAATCATAGACTGTATAAAAGATGGACGTAGCAACCTGTCCCGAAAAATGAAGCCAACCCGGAAGTGTCAAAAACCTGCAATATCACTACGTCCACTAGTCCTGGCTCCCATAGAAATGAATTGGGAAAGAAGTGATCACAGATCATGAAATACTGCATTCCTCCAGCTCAGGATTTTTTTCTTATTAGTTTTCATGGTCAAGTCCAGAGATCAGGTGGTCAATCTGAAAATAAATCAATACTGAATTTTTTAAAAATCATCAACATTTTGCGGGGCAAGGGGCGTGGCTGGCTTGATTGACAGTCAGCAGCGATCATACAGACGAAGCGAGCAGAAGGCGGTAAATGTGGGCGGGAAGAGAGGGCCCGCCTCTCAATCCGTCTGACCAATCGCTGCTCCTATGGCTCCGCCCCCCTCCGACGATTTTTGTGTCACTGGCTCCAAAAATCCAAGATGTCAACCAGGAAGTAGCAAAACCCTGGCTTCATTTTCTCAGTGCAGAAACCAACGGGTGACGTCACAGTAGCTATGCCCATCTTTTATACAGTCTATGCTCTCAATGTGCTTGTATAGTCTGTAACACTTGCTAGCAGCCAGTGTTTCCTCTTTATCTCCTAGCTGATGTTGTCTTCATGTCCTATAGCCAATGATCAGTGGATAGTAGATGCTAAGAGCTTCGGTAATTTGTCTAATGAGGCACTTGTCTGCTCAGAGACTGGGCCAGACTTTCCACAGTTGTATAAACCAGGAGCAGGAGTTCTGCTGCCTTTATTTTGCAGTTTGGGTTTGGAAGTTTTCTTTTGTAGTCTTTTGATTCTATTTCTGTCACTGATTTAACAGCACCCACAGGCTCTGTTTTTTTTTGGTTTTTTTTATCTTTGCAGTTTTACCTTCTTTGTTTGTTAATTATATCACTGTGCAATATACAACCCTGCTAAACCCCCAGAAAACTACTGGTTTTATGCTGCTTGCAGAGATGGGATGTAACACTGACACAGCGTTTGATGGCGCCACATGGGGAGAAAGAGAGGTGGCAGAGAGCGGACTGATGTAGAGGTTTGCAAACATATTTTATAAAGACTTACATCGCACGCTTGGCATTTGCTGCTGATGGTGGAGCTGAAGTGGATGTGTGCACCGAAGGAAACCACACCAGGTATCAGTCTCACACCGTCCTGGCTTAGACAGTACATTAAGAGCTCTATCATATCTCTGGGAACTTAATCCATCCATTAGCTATCCACTTCATCCTACAGAGGGTTGCGGGCACCTGGAGAGTGTTTCAGGGCGAGAGGCGGGATACAAGCCGGACAGGTTGCCAGTCTAACGCAAAGAGACAGACTCACTCACACTCACACCTACTGCTGATTAACCTAACATGCATGTCTTTGGACTGTGGGAGGAGGCCGCAGCGCCCAGAGAAAACCCACGCAGCCGCCGCCGGGAGAACACGCAAACTCAACACAGGAAGGCTCCAGGTTCAAAGCCGGAATTCTCTCGCTGTTCGCGCTAATGCTGCCTGGAACTTAATCCTCTTGTCTAAAAGAAGCACTTCAACTTACAGATGCAAAGTCCTCCTCTTGACCTGCATATAACTCACCAAGGCCTGAAAACTAGCTCTATTGTTAGGAAAATGTGGACCCAATATCCTGACAGGGTGCAGTTTGTGCAACCTTCTACAAAACTCTGAAATGTAAGGAGCAACAAAAAAAAAATTGAGCCGCATATGTGACGTAATACGACACAATATTGAGAGCGCTGCACGAAATCTCTGAGTTGCTGCCTTTAAGTGTCTTAAAACATATAAAATCACGCATTAACTTCTCCAACCGTCACTCACAAGAAATATTAGGAATGAATTTAGTGAAAAATTCAAACCTGCGAGCTGCTCTTTAATGTGATTATGAGAACATTATGATTAAGGCACGGGTCACCAGAACGCATTAATCTTGTTGTGATATTTATGTTAAGGTCATACGGAGATGATTAATTCTGCAGTTACGACATCCACGATTAGTCACGTTGTCGGAGGCTTATTTGGACGCTTGCTCCACATGAAATTGTTCTCTGCGGTTACAACACTTGCTCAATAATTAGACTTTTGCGCGACCTAGTCTTTGTGAAATGACTGATGTGAGAAAACAACGTCTACATTATGTATGGAGGATTCTCGATAGTATGAGCGCTGAAATACAAAACAAGCAGCATCTATTATAGAATTCCAGATCAATAAAAGGATATATTTGGATATTAATGCTCGTCTCATTATTACATCCACAGCATCAAGGGGATAGTTTGCAATTTTGGGAGATACACATTTTGCTTTGTTGCCGATAGACAAGAAGGTATCATTTTCATATCTATCCTATATTAGCCAGCAGCTTGGTTAGCTTAGCTTAGGGTAAAGGTTGGAGGGAAAAGTTCCAAACTAACAGAAGTCCTGGCTAAGAAAAAGCCCAGCTCATAACCTCAAGTAAAACTGCAACGCTTAGTTTTACTGTGGATCAAACAAATGAGATACAAGGTAGAGGTGCGAGTTTGATCTGCTTAAGACAGATCCAGACTCCCCCGTTTCAACGCTTGATGCAAAGCAAAGCAGCTGCTGGCTGTAGCTTCACGTTTAGTGGACAGCTACGAGAGCGCTATCGCCTCATCTAACGCTCTAAATTGAATAGGCTCATTTCTTGTCAAAGCACTGCAGTAACTATAATGACTCAGAGGAATTCTATTTACCAGGTCATGTGGACCTCTACAGAAAATCTGAATTAACCCAGTGCACCGTAACCAGTAAACACTCCAGCAGCGGCGGTAAATTGTGTAGTGTGCCTAATGCTGACCCAACTCATTCCAGAAGCGGTCACATGTACCTGGTTCTTTTGCCAAGCTTTCCCATCCAAGTCAATTTCACAGCTCGGCTGTAGTGAGTTTTTTTTTTTTTTTTACCCCCCTTTCGTCTCTTTCAAACTCAATTTCAAAGAGTTCTAGGAGACACTCACTGTTGGTCGATCACATTTTCTCATTAATTTAAAGGCACCGTAGATGCCTTCTGATTACTACATGAATAATAAACAGGCCCGTTATTCTCCTTGCGGTGGGAGAAGCCCCCCCGTTTAATTCACTGTCCATCCATGTGTATTAAGGAAACTGCTTCTCTTTAGTGAAAAACCCCAAACAGGCTCAGACACATGACAGTGTTGCTCTAGAGTTAATAAACAACCAGTCAGGATGCGTTACAGCGGGACACTGCAGTGGCCACAGAAAACCAGCGTCAGTGTACGACCACTAATACACACAATGTAGTTCAGAATGCGATGCCGTCGCGTCTCAAATAACATTTTTTCATATGATATGCAATCTATCAGATTAAATGACTCCCTCCATATTTCAGAGTAGATCAACCTCTATCAGTTTCTTGGATCAAAAACCTTGATGTGATTTGAGCTCTGATTTGCAAAGTAATTACAGATTATGACTTTTTTTTTTTCTCTCTGTGGTATTAAAAAAAAAAAAAGAGAGAGAGAGACCTTGACAATTAAATAAGGAGGAGGATGAATTTACATTCTGATGCGTCCCTCAGCGTGCTGCCAGCATCGACGTCCAGGGTCAACGTGCATCCATTTATGAGCTCTAACCGACAGAGATCAAACGTCTTTGGCTCATGAAGCAATCGTCATTCAGCGAGGTCCGCCTGATTATCATAGCGTTAACGCCACATATGAAGTCACCATTAATAATTCAGCACATTGTCTTCCTCGGTTAAGGACTTCCTCCTGGCCTCACATCCACTTTGTACAACATGTGATGCTCTTCTGCATGATTATTGTCAAGGTGTTATGTCTCCACCTAAAGGTAACCTGAGGAACTGAAAAAGAGTCTTGCATGTGCATGTGTGTGTGTGTGTGTGTGTGTGTGAGAGCCTCACTAGACAAAATGCTGAACTGATAGGCAGGATAATCATATAAACACTCTGAGCAGCATTTTAATCAGATCCAATTATAGATCTCTGTCATATTTAATGACACATTAGGTACAAGTGGATATGATTAGGCTTGTGAAATCAGAGGAATTCATGGGAGATACTGTACGCGTCTAATTACAGCCACATATCTGTACGGCTTTTAAATGCAAAAACAGCAGATTAAGTCCAAATCGCCATTAATTAAGGGGCGCATAATGTATTACAAGTAGAGTTTTATTATTCAAATTGAACAATAAAATTACATCCTCCCGAGACAGTTGTACAATAATGTAATTTGTGCAATTCTGTACAAAAGTTTTTCAAGTGGCTACGTTTTTAAATAAAAAGTGACACGGAGCAGAGAAAATTACATGAATTCAGAAAGTTTTTCCTTCACTTTCTCGTCGATGTTTGCATAGTATTTCATTTGGCCGAGCAGTGCCTTGGCAGCCTGGAGCTCTCCTGATAACAAAAAAAAAAAAAAAGAGAGAGAGAGAGAGAGGAGGTGTAAAAGGAAGTTCAATCAATGACTCACTCGGCGACTTAAAGGGAAGCTTCGGTGTAGATTACGAAACAAACAAAGGAATAAACAGAGGAATGGACAAGCACGAAGCCTGAATACGATACCTTTGCGGAGGGCGGCATCTATCTGCTCTGTCAGCTCTGCTAGTTTCCCTGTAGGTAAAGAGAAGACAAGTTCCAGTTCTGCACGTGTCAACAAGACGCAACACACTTGTTTTTTTTAAATTTCTCAACAGCACACTCGCCTGAGAGCAACTGCTTGATTTGAAGTAAACAAACCACATTAAAATCAAAGAGGAGTACGTTGTTAAGACAGTTTAAAGTCAGCACCACGTAGTACAAACTGGATACAGTGAGACTTTGTAGAGATAAATCTGTCATTTTGATCTTATTAGTTGGCAATGAAGCCAGTTCTGTGAATCGTAAGCATCCTCAAGGTTTGGGTGGAATCGTATCCCGTTTGTTATACGATTCATGAGTCAGCCGTTTCTCTGTATTATCTATTCATTGGGTTTAGTAATTACTTTCTATGAAGAAGTTTTTTTTATCATTCATGAACTCACTCTGGATTCAAACTGCCTGCATATGCATACCTGCAAGGTTGGTTTGTTTGGCTGCACCGTGAACGGGAACACCAGCTGCTCTCCTGTTTGTGTTTCTGACGAGACCGGTTTCTGCTGTTGTACTACGCTGCACTGCATGTTACCATAGCAACCATAGGTGTTTCCACATCAGCCAGAGTTGAAATCTTACAGAGGACAACTTCAACCGCTCTGAACTCCAAAACCTGGCGTCTGGTTTAAAAGGCATGTTATTGTGTTTCATTTTTTTTTGTTTTTGTTTTTTTTTTTTTCATGTTATTGTGTTTCATTTTTTTTTGTTTTTTTTTTTTTTTTTTTTTTTAATCGTCAAAATTGCACCATTCATCAGAGACAAAAACTGTAAAAAAACAAAAGAACTGTTTGACTTTCAGCTTTTCAATGCTTCTCAAGCAAAAAAAAAATCAGTGACGTATTGTGAAACGTAATCATATTTCAGTTTAAAATCTGAATATTTCATTAATATCTCTTTATTATACTTGTCTCTCAAAAATTGCCAAAAAAATAAACTGTTTGCAGCGACTAGATTATGTCAAAAAACTAAAAATTCTGTAGTCCTTGGTGCAACAGCCACTGTAGGAGGGTAAATCTATTTCTTTGGTTCTGGATTTGGTTCTTATTTTACCACGGTTATTTCTATTTGGTTTTGATTTTTTGTTCTACAGTAACTTTGATATAGATTATGATTAACATTTTTATTTTGCTAAATTTATCTGTTATTTGGTTAAATGTTGTTAATCATAGTTTTGGATATTTGAATTCTGTGTTAGTGTGGTGTTTTGGTTTATTGATTTGTTTTTGATATTTTGGTTCACTATATTAGGGTCCCTTAAATTTGCAAGGGCTCTTGGGAAATGAATGATGGCATGGAGCCAAACAGTTTTTTGACTGCACACGCTTTGTATCCTCGTTTTGCTTTATGTTTTCCGTCTGTAAATTTTATTTTTGTGAACTAAAGAATCCTGTTTAAACCGCAACTTGTGTCAGCTGGGTTTTGTCGTTGGAGTACACCCAGCAAGGCATACACTGTGGATTTTGGAAAGCTATGGGGAAAAGTTAGTCAAGCTGGGCTTCATGAACTTTAGACCATACAGCCACATTAAAGACAATTCATAGACTTCTGAGGTGAAGTGGGCTGAACTGCAGGCTGTGTTTACAGGAGGGACAAGTATGGAGACCAATTCAAAGCATTGGTAACACCTGGAGCCACTTGGGAAAATGTTGTACATGTTGGTTCCAGTTTTTTTTTTTAATTTTTGTAAAACAATAATCAAACTAAATTTGTCTTTTTCCTCCTTTTTGTATGAGTTATGGCACTGTAAGTGTGTCGTACCATTCCCTCTACTTCTAGTCATGGTTCTTGCATTTCCATAGAGGTGTAGGACTTTATTTTGCAAATAAAAATGAGTCCAAAGACAGAAAAATGTGGCAAAAAATACCTAGAAACTGGGTCTCAGCCAGTAAGCAGTTCAACCAAAAGGCGATTTTCATTATTTAACTGTTCATTATTCAGTTCGGTCATTTTTGAAGGTTTGTGCTGCTAGAACTAGTGTGAATTTTAAACCAGCTACATATCTGATGTGTGCAGGTATTCACCCAGTTGTGTTACTTTGTGATCAAGAATTAGCTCCAATCACTCAAGCAGCACTTCGCTCGGGACGCAACTGTTTACCTTTTGTGTCTTGGCCGATCTTATTGGCTTCTTCCGGAGTCTGCGCTTCGTCGAGAGCCTCATTAATCTCCATCAGCTCCATTAGAAAGTGCGAATCGGCCCCAGAGTCGGTGCCCTCCTCCAGCTGCATCCCCTGTAACTCCAGCTGAAACATACGACAGGAGTCCATCAAGCTCGGCTGCTCCTTTAAATGCACATCACTCCTCCCGACTGTCTGACGGCGGAGAACGAGCGATCAGACAGACAGGGCTTGCAGTTATGAAAATAAACTATTCATTAGAAGTTGAGTCAGGGATTTCAAACTCACCATATAAAGACCACGACTCAAAGGCTTAAGCAGAGTCTTGTATGCTTTGTTCACGAGAGCCGACTGGCTTTCTGAATACTCCTGTTCTTTCTGCAAAAGAGAGCTCTGTTAAGTTCACTTCTAATGAGTGCATTCATTAAAAAAAAAAGGGAAAGACAATCTGTTCTATGGTGATTTTCGACTCAGATCACATGCATTTGCAAAAACCGGCATTCACAGTATGCACAGTCACACTTCTGCGACAAAAAGGGGAATATCATCGGAGCTATTTTACACCTTGCCATCCCAATCTATACCACTGTCAGATTTTTTAAACACCAAATCCTTGGTGATACTGACAATTAGGTGTGTGACATGCAGCTAGTCTTTTGTAGTCGAGCAGTTTGGGACCCTTCAAGAGATGCAGGTGTGGGTTTGACACGACAGACGTGTGGAAACAAGACAGGGAGGAAAATATCTTGGAAATGGTTGGCAGATTCGAGTACATTTTGCAGCGATCAGGTCTGTCAGCTCTTGTGAAAATCAATAGACTGGAGCTCTGGCCCATGGGCCCATCATGTGAAGCTGTTTCTGTAATAACAACCAATGCAGTAGGTGGCTGCCTTGTAGCCTTGTATAGGTAATGAGTTTTCTATATATGATTAAGGCCCCTGAGGCTGGAAGATGTCTAATTAAGAAAAAAATGGCCAGAGGTGGTGATAAATAAAACAGAATCCGTAGAATAATGGACAGGTTGTGTGCGGAGAAACCGCTTAGGCTCCCTCCCCTCTCTCTCATACTCTGCTGAATACAAGTTCAGCTTTCACATCATCTGAGTGTACAGCATAAATTACACATCAAGCAACACACCTCCACACCACGCTTTATTTGTAATGCTCATTCTTCCAAACCGCCATGCATTTTCCTTAATGATCTACAATCGGGGGAGGGAAATGGATAATATGGATAAATGTTTGACTATTTACCACGTTGTAGAACAACTTAGAAACAGCTTTAAACTGCTCAGATGCACCGGGACAAGTCTTACTCATTCCCGTGAACGCTGCACTCGTCGAGATTTTCATGTAAAATATACGCTCTGCTGTCTCATCGGCTTAACCGTGCTGCGGGCTGAATGTGATTTACCAAGCACCTCAAACCTATGTTTCCTCAAAAGATTCTGGCGTTGGAAATATACACTTGTCTACTGATAAGAAGTGGCAATTCAAAAGCAAGAAAGAGAAGGAGGAGGAGGAGGAGAGGACCGCATTTACATATTTCCTCAACATCAGTGAGGGAGTGCTGCAACCAAAGACAACCGGAGAAACCTAAGTTAGACCTCTTTCCTGTGTTTTTCCTGAGAGTTTGTTGTGTGCACGATGTTGTTAACAGTAGGTTTCATAAAAGAGAATTGCAGTGATTTCATATTCAATCTACACAAACCTAGAGAATTTTTGAGAGAGGTTTATTTGAGACGGGCCCGACCTGCGCAGATTCAATCACCAGCGATCACCGCAAAGACTTGCTTTGATGACATGCAAAAGTATGCAAACATAACAAACTGCTCAGCCTCAAGGCATGATGGGAAACGTTGGGCTCTCCCCTGTGTAACACCTGACTGGTTAGGATGCTGGCTAAACTATATCATAGAAACATTTCATTATCCATCCATCTATACACTGCTTAATCCTCACTAGGGTCCTGGGGGGGGCTGGAGTCTATCCCAGCTGACTGAGGGTGAAGGCAGGGGACACCCTGGACAGGTCACCAGTCTATCACAGGGCTACACTTAGAGACAGACAACCAAGCACACTCACATTCACATGTACAGACAATTTAGAATCACCAATTAACCTCAACATGTTTTTGGACTTGTGGGAGGTAGCCGGAGAACCCGGAGAGAACCCACGCTGCACGGGGAGAACATGCAAACTCCACGCAGAAATATCCCAGGTGTCCTCACCAGGACGCGAACCGGCAACCTTCTAGCAACGGTGCTAACCACCAAGCCACCTCGCAGCCCAACTTTTCATCATGTTTCAGTTTTCAGATCATGTTTGTCTGATTTAAAGGTTTTGGTTGATGTTTTCAGTCAGAGAGGTTGAAAACATTCAGATCACACATCACAAACTGCAGACTATAAGTAGTTCTGGTCTACTGTATATCCACACTGCACTGATTCATTCTTGAAGTATTTATCACAACTTCTGGTAAGTGGGATGTGTTAAAATAACACCTGTGCAGATATTTTAGCCCTGACAGTCTGAATATCTTGTGGATTAGTAATAAGAGCTTTCGTTCTGTGTTTCTTTTTCCTGTATTTGACTATTAATCAGTGTTTGCAAACTGATCTGATGCATATTTACATTTAATCACGTAAAACGGAGGCTGAACCGTGAACGGAGATTACACATTGCCCGTATATACTGTAATAAGCGTTCCTGTCATATTTACAACTATTGGAGACTGTGTACAAACTCATATTAGAGCAGGGGTTCTCAACTGGTGGGTTGCGACCCAAAAGTGGGTCGTGGACTTGTTCTGGGTGGGTCGCGGACAGCTGGTCAAAACTAAATAATATATAATGTGCGTCTCAGGTTGGACTTATTTTTTATTTTGAATTTTTTTTATTTTGACAGGCATGGTAACCATAGTTTGTTTGACTAAGTTTGTGTTGATGTTGGGAGGCAAGATGGCAAAGTGCAAATATGACCCGGAGTATTTATAATGTGGATTTTCATACTAGGACCGAACCCCAATAGTCAACTATTCGTACGCTGTGCTGGAATCGGGATACCAATTTTAATCTCCGAATATTCCCGCCCCTACCACCGATACAGCAGGCTCAGCAGCCGCACCCCCGTCTGCATAATAAGCTTCCCCGCCGCCGCCATGGAAATGGTGCTGTCAATGCTAACATAAACACCTAAACTGGTCTTAGTAGCCAACAGTTGCCTTTGCGTCCCGCCACTGCCAGCCCGTCGGAGCCTGCGCGCACTCAGAAGTCCGCTGGCTCTCTGAGACTAACTCCCTGTATGCAAAACAACGAAATGTGGCTGCAGGAGAGCATCAGCTGGTGGAGCTGTCATGTGATCAGACGCTGAAAAAGAGATTTGGGGAGGTCAGACTTTCCCACTTCTGGTGCAGCGATGTGATGGCTGAGGATCCATCCCTCACCACTCCTGCAGTTAAAACAATAAAACCATTCAGCTCAGCCTGTTTGTGTGACAGTGTCTTCTCCATCTTGGTCCAGCTCAGGTCACAGCAGAGGAGCAGGTTGGACACTGAGCATGATCTGAGAGCAGCTCTGTCTACTGTCAGCCCAGACTCTGAAACTCTAATCAGGAGTAGAGCACGTGCCCAACTGTCTCATTAACTTCAACAAATGACCTGATTAAGCCAAAACTTTATTTTCGAGTAGTTTTGATATTTATTTTATTTACTTTTCTACATGCAGTTGTCATGTTCCTCCTTAGTTTCTTATTAATTTGCTCAAAATGGAGTGAAAACATGTTGTTTTGTGCCCTTTTTTATTTTGTGCAGTTTTTTTTACATGCAGTTGTCATGGTCCAGTTACTATGCATGGTTATAAGCTCTGAAATGCATGTTGCACAGGAAAATATATTGAATATTAAATTCTAAAAAAAAATTGGGTCGCGACTTAATCACCATGGGAAAATGTGGGTCCCAGGGTGAGACCAGTTGAGAACCCCTGCATTAGAGAACAAATGTTTCAGTGAGTTCCTGGACAGACTGAAGGCTGCTGGAAACCGACTGCCAAAAACTTTCTCGTCCACTTTCCAGGCGATGCACAGCTAATCTCGAATGAAACTAATGTCAATTCCCTGGCTCCCAAAACCATATGTTATGTAATATGTCCCATAATGCAACTGGATTTCCGTTTTTTTTTTTTTTTAGACCATCCATATAATTTAAAGTCCAAATGTACAGTCTCTAAGCCCGAGTTAAGATTACTCCGAGGGCATTACAATGACAAAATCGTGGTCATTTTCTCGGACTTGTCAAACCTCCTGCAGAGCAGCACACAAAACTGTTTTTCACAAACCGAGTCTCTCGACTGGTGACAGACCGTTTGAATCAGTGGAGTGTCACTACAATATTAGACTTTAATTAACAGTTGCCCTTTTCTGACAGTCAGATTATTAATATGTAAAGTTGCCAAGTGCAGCTTTCATATGTTATTGTTTTAATAGCAAAATGTATGTTTGTATACAGGCCGAGTGCTTACACACTTAGACGAGTGCGGCTCATATCTACCCATCTCATATTTAACAAGAGCCGAAGCGCTGCTCAGTTAACAGAGTCAGCAGCTATTTTGACAGTCAAATAATTGTTTCTGTCATGTTTTTGAGCGAAACTGGCAAATATTAATTGGTTCCAGCTTCTACACTGTGAGGATTTGATGTTTTCTTGTCATGATAGGATGCCTTTGGATTTTAGTCAGTAATTGAATGTTTTATCGTGGATGCTGAAAGAGAATATAATGGGCATTCCCCTACCTTTTAATCTTTTATAAACAAATTATTACCCAAGTAATCAAGAAAATAATTGGCAGGAAGAGAAAATAGTCATTAGCTGCTGCCCTGTATTTAACCTTGCCAGCTACTTACTTTTGATCATCTGCCTAAATGGGCTTTTAAAAACAAAATCTGCATTTCAGCTCTAACTGCAGAGTTTCTTTAAAAATGTGAGCAATTATTCCTAAAAAGTCACAAAGAAAACAGCTGTTCAGTGAAAATCAAGGTTTTTTTTTTAATCTTGTTAACACATCCATGTGGTGTTTTTTATATGCTAGAAGACATATCAGGACAGAAATGAGCAGTCATGGCTGTAAATGTCCACCTTGAAACTGCAGCATAGCAATGACAGCCTCAAAAACACTGAGTTTCATATGTAACAAACCAAAGGAAGCAATGCCACCAAGTTGCATGGTGGGGCGCTTTGTTTCATTAATCCTTTACAGAATTGGTTTCCAGTTCAACCATGTGTGGCCGAAATTACTCCAGTACTACAAGTTGCCACTGTGCTGCAGTTTTACAGTGAGCAAGGTCGTAGGAGAGCTGGTGTGCTCGAGCTGCGGCAAGTAGCGGAGGGGTGGGCGGAGACAGAGAGGGGGTGCGTCGTAGATCTGAACAATCTAAAGGAAGCACTGGTGCAGTTATATCTACGCCATTTTAATCCTGTAAAGTCTAAACCATGAAATAATTGCCAGAAAATTCTATTTTTTTTGAAAACGAAATGTTTACCAAAACCCCTGACATATAAAAAAATGTTAAAAAACCAAAATAAAACTAAACATTAATTTTCATCATTTTTGCAACATCCAGCATATTGGAGCATGAATTACTGATCCATGGTGGATTATGCGCACACTGAATGTGTCTGATTGTATACATCAGGTTTTTCAGGAATAAAATATCACACTGATGATGTAGAGGTGTCAAAAAATTATGTATCAGATATTACACAATTGGCGTTACAGGGTTAAGACACAAAGTGACTATTTTCTTGGGGACAAAAACAACCAAAAAGATCTAAATATGTAATTTTGATATCACTGACTGGAGAGTGACGTTACTATCTCAGCTCTACTCTGGCAGAATTTATAATATAATATAATAAGAACAGCAAGGCCTCCACACATGTAAGACAGCTGAATTTGCTTTTAACTTTTACTTACTTAAGCTTTGTAATGATTTTCACATACTGACAACTTAACATCTAATTTGTTTTGCAAACTTGCAATTTATACTTTCAATTAAAATGGATTCTTTCTAACTATAATGGAGGTCATTTAGCGTTTTTTTAAAATTCTTATTTACAGATTTTATAGTTAAAATGTGCAGTACATGTAATAAACCTTTTCCCCAGTAGACATCTTCAGACTCCACAGGTATAATTAACAACCTTAATAACGACTTAGGTGAACCGGTTCCAGGGTGATGCACATGCTGGCTTACTGGAACTACCATCTTGGATGTTTTCCTCGAGTCTGTCTTCATTTCTTCTTTTTTCTAAAAAAGTGCTTTTTCCATCTGCTCAGTTGTTTATCTTCCATTTATTTCCTCAGACCTGCTTGTTTTACCTTGACATTGTTCGCTTGGTAGCTTAACACAGGGAACGCTTCCCTGCGAGGGCCTACATTTGTCAATGTCTTGTAACAAATCTATCTTTGTTAGTTTGTGCTGAGTTATTCCCGTGGTCAGATCACAATGTATTATACTAACAAAACCAAAATGCACACTCAAGTGGCCTGATAGGGACAAAGGGTCAGACACAATTTCACGTGTCACAGTGCGTCTAAAAGATAGGACAGCATCGTCTGACTCATTTCGCTCAGCTGATCTCTATTCCCCTTACATTCCTCGGCCTACCGCAGATTTCTGGCTGAAGTTGTCCGGATGAAGAGACCGCTGGAGCTGCAAATATCTTTTCTGCAGCTTCTGTGTGTCCAATGTGAATGTGCAGTCACTGAAAAGGGGAAACACATGATAAGATGAAACAGTTTGCCTACAGACACACCTAAAGATCAGATAAAATAGTAGGTTTTAATTAGGGATACTCACCAATCCATGATCTGGAAGAAGGATGTCCCTTCTTCAGGAGGTTGGACAACTTTACATGACATACAGAAGAAGGTGGGTTTTTTGTCAAACAGCTGACTGCAGTTCCAGCAGTTCAGTTTAACTTGATTTGCAGTGTAATTCCGTAGTGAAGGGATATAATTAGTGGAGTAAAACAGTCCTTTTTCCGTTCTCACAGTTGTGACGTTGAAGTTGCTGTGCCATGTGTCCTTCTTGTGTAAGCTAGTGGACATCCAGTGTCCTGAACATGTAACGGATAGTCGATTCGTCAACAGCCGGTTTGGGTGAAGGACAGCCCGAGAAGAGCGCACAACCCGCAACGAGTTCGCCGACAACATGTTTTTAAAATTAAAATAGACTGCTTGCTCCTTTACAATTAAAAAATTAATATAAAAACAAACGCTCCTGTTCCAAACATAAGCATCTCCTACACGGAAGAGCACCGGAAGTGGAGTTCTTCTTCTACGTTTTTGTTATGAAGCGCCACAGCGCCCCGCTTGACTCGGTGGTTGCACACAGCGAGCTCACTGGATGGTACTGGGCATAAAAAACAACAGCACGCTAGCTCAGGTGCTAGCAACAGCAAGCACAATCTGTTTGTAACTATTCGTTTTAACGACACGTTAAATTTGAACGCAGCACACCATACGAAGTAAGTTGAACACTCGAGCAATTTTTGATTTTTTTCGTAGGAAACCGTCGCACTGAATGCGGCGTTTAGTAGGATGTAAACTTCCGATAACAGAAAGAAGCAGTGGTCAACATGTAGCTAGCTTAGCTCACCAGCTAATAGCAGCATAGCTTACCTCGCTAACGTGTTTTAGCAACAAAAATGTTCTCGTTAGCGCTCTGTGCTGACAATAAAGATAGTTTGTGGTCAGATACTAGCATACTATCCCACAAAGCAGTGTGCGAATTCATTTTAAGATATACAGAGCAAACCATCCTGCCTTAACTTTTGGTTGAGTAGCTTGCTGTGCTACCTAGCTAGATGACAAAGACATCCCATGCTAACGTTATTAGCGGTGACTGATGGATAGTGTGTACAACCACCTTATTAACACATATCTCTCCATGACACTTTGTAATAACTATAACCCGTAACTGGTTGTTTATGATCAAATATGTGGTTAAAAGACAACTTTCTTTACTTTGTTTGCAAAAGCATGCCACTCTGAAATGAGCTAGAAAGCAGCAGGACGCTTATTTTCATTTCTCAATGTCTTTTTCAGATCTATTCAACCACCTGGCGATGAGAGGGGCAATGGTTCATGAAGAGTTTTGGATACACAGAGAGTGGCTGGTCCACCAGGGACATCATCAGGCACTGGAGCATAGATAACACCTCCAAACTGGCGAGTATTTCATTTATTGAGAGGACTTGTTGCTGTGAAATCATACATCTATCCAGGCTACTGCATTGGAATCGTTGCTAGGTGTGTGAAAAGTTCCTCTGAACTGGGGCCAAGCGTAAATATGCATATTTGGCCTAGGATCAGTCTAGGCGTCTCGACTCCTCGCCTTTACAGTTTCCTAACAAAGTGCTAGCTGTGATGAATGCCAACTCTTGATTCTTGTTGTGTGTCGTTGTGTGTGTGAGTGTGTGTAGGTGTGTGTTATTTGGGGGGGGGGCAAAAGGTGACAGTCGAGTATTCCAGAGAGACACTGGTTGGAGACAGCAGCTTCTATAAGGTAAACAGGATCTCCTCCTGAAGGTCGAGGGAGGTGCTTCTCAAGGCCCCCACAGACAATGCTCTGGGTATTATTAACGGAAATGGCTAAGAATAGAGAGCAGGGGAGCAAGGTGGCTCCTCTGGCGGTCGTGTTGTTTGGGTTAAACAAGCCAGAACGGAACATCATCTTTAGAAGAGTGACTTCTCAAGCTTACATGCTGGGTGTGGCGCACTTGCACAAGGCAAGGGGTTGATTTAGAGGGCTTTATCTGGCTCTGATGTACAGCAGAGGTAAAACAGAGTCGCTGTGGATCGCTCTTGACTCTTTTATGCATGGAGTTGTTGCACTTTACAGCTTGGATTCGTAAGTAAAACCATTTTTCAAGTCCGCTGGGAGCATTTTCATTTGTCGTTTCACATAAGTTCTGTACTTATTTTTTCAGTTTGGCAACGTTTCATGCCAACAGCTCGGAGTGGCTGCTTCACTGCATCTTACTGTCTACGTGTCAGGTGTAGATTAAGATTGCATGGATACGCAAAAGCTTTATCCCCAGTTAGCAGTGGATAAAAGGTTTGCTTCAGTCGATGTATGTTTATTTTACAATGTCGATACAAGTCATGATACAATTCTGAGCGTGTTATTGAATAAAGTCCCTAGAAAATAATGTCTGGTTTGGCTTAATCCAAGAAATTAAAGCCCGACGAACAGTGAGTCATTGCACTGATGCATTTTTCGTGGGAAGCAGTTTTGATTTGCAGTATTATCCACTCTGGCCCAATACACATGTGAATGGTATAGATGCCTCTGTGATGGGTTGCAAGTTTGTGTTTTCTCCAAGTATGTATTGTTGCTGCTCCAAACTCGAGCTCTCAAGATGGATCTAGTCAATTTCCCTGGATGAGTATCATTAGTGATGCATAGCTTATTGTCTAAATGCATAGGACCCTCCTTCATTACTGTGCCTTTATCGCTGTGCACAGTGTTAATGCACAGACTGTATTGTTTTCTCTACTTTTTAAGTGTCAGACATTTATGAAATTCCCCGCTCTCAGATTAAGTGTTATAATTAACATCAGAAGAGAAAGGTGGAGTTTGTCTATCCTTGCTAATTAGGCTGCTGATGAAAAGCTGACGTGTTGGTTTTATATGATTAAGCCAGTGTGGCATTGTTATTCTCTTAATTTGCTCATTTATTATGTTTATTGCCCGCATACATATTCAAGGCAGCTGTCTCTTTGCCTGTGTGCTATCTGTCTTTTTATTCATTTTCTCCGTGGGGACAGCCCATTAATTCTTCACCCGAATCTTGCAGGGAGTAAATTAAAATGCAGACAAACTGACTTTATATTTTATCGACGACTAGTTTGCCATTTGGCCATAACATTTGAAATGCAATGTCCAGTATGACACCCCTCTTGAAAGCAAGATTTATTGTGCCTGTTAAAGAATAGTTAAATCAATAACATGGTAACCCACTCAGTAAAGTCCAACAGGAAATTCTTTGTCACCATCGCTATTTCATTACTCCTGGCAGCCTTCAAATTAACCATCTGAAATGTTCTGATGTATGACCTTGTTAGTTAGCACTATAGTATTGATTTGTCTGTTTGGTATTGTGCCGTTGTTCAGGGAAAGGTTGTTGAGGCATTAGAGGGGGTTAGCTTTTTATTTTTCATTTTATATAAAGCCCCGCATTGTTGTGACGCTTGACGAGGCCATTTAATTCAGTCTATCCCTGTTCACAATTCTGATTATGTCCTCAACTCTTCTGCCCTCCCACAGATAAACCATGATCCCCATCACTGAGCTGCGGTACTTTGTGGACACTCAGCCGGCATACCGCATCCTGAAACCATGGTGGGACGTGTTCACCGACTACATCTCCATCGTCATGCTCATGATTTCTGTGTTTGGAGGGACGCTGCAGGTCACGCAGGACAAGATGATCTGCCTGCCCTGCAAGTGGGTGGTCAATGAGACCTGCAAGAAGAACTTTAGCTCCACCATCCCCACATCGTTGTTCTTGGAGCCCAAAGGAATCCAGTATGATCTGGATCGCCACCAGTACAACTATGTCGATGCTGTATGCTATGAAAATAGATTGCACTGGTTTGCCAAGTATTTCCCTTACCTAGTATTACTCCACACCCTTATTTTCCTAGCTTGCAGCAACTTTTGGTTCAAGTTTCCTCGGACTAGCTCCAAACTCGAGCACTTTGTATCCATCTTGCTGAAGTGCTTTGACTCTCCCTGGACTACCAGGGCGCTATCAGAAACGGTGGTTGAAGAAAGTGATCCAAAACCCATGAAAATGAACGGCTCAATGGACCACAAGGAGTCTGTTATCAGCGAGGATGTAGAAGCAAGTGTTCCTATGCTTCAAAGGACAAAGACACGCTTTGAGCAAGGCATTGTGGATAGAACAGAAACTGGAGTTTTGGACAAGAAAGAGGGTGAACAGGCAAAAGCTCTGTTTGAAAAAGTAAAGAAGTTCCGTATACACGTGGAAGAAGGAGACATCGTGTACAGACTGTACATCCGTCAGACTATTATCAAAGTTATCAAGTTTATTTTGATAATCTGTTACACAGGGTATTATGTGCACGATATTAAATTCAGTGTTGACTGTTCTGTAAATATTGAGAGCCTGACCGGTTACAGCGTATATCGTTGTGCTCACCCACTAGCTACACTTTTTAAAATCTTAGCCTGTTTCTACATTAGTTTAGTGGTGGTGTATGGTTTGATCTGCATGTACACACTTTGCTGGATGCTTCGGCGCTCTCTGAAGAGGTACTCCTTTGAGTCCATTCGGGAAGAGAGCAGCTACAGCGACATCCCTGATGTGAAGAACGACTTTGCATTCATGTTGCACATGATAGATCAGTATGACCCTCTGTACTCTAAACGCTTTGCCGTGTTCCTCTCAGAAGTAAGCGAAAATAAGCTGAGGCAGCTCAACCTCAACAACGAGTGGACATTGGACAAGCTCAGGCAGAGGATAACAAAGAACTCTCAGGAGAAGTTGGAGTTGCACCTTTTCATGCTGAGCGGCATTCCAGATACAGTGTTTGACCTGATGGAGCTGGAGGTTCTTAAACTGGAGCTGATCCCAGATGTTACTATTCCCCCTATCATCGCCCAGCTGGTCAACCTGCGCGAGATGTGGCTCTATCACACTCCAGCCAAAATCGAAGCTCCCGCTTTGGCTTTTCTGCGCGAGAACTTGAAATCTCTGCACATAAAGTTCACTGACATCAAAGAAATTCCTTTATGGATCTACAGCCTGAAGAATCTCAGTGAGCTTCACCTGACCGGGAATCTCAGTGCTGAGAACAACCGTTACATTGTCATCGACGGACTCCGGGAGCTCAAGAGGCTCAAAGTTCTTCGCCTGAAGAGCAATCTCACCAAGCTACCTCAAGTGGTGACAGATGTGGGCATGCACCTGCAGAAGCTTTCCATCAATAATGAAGGCACCAAGCTGATGGTGCTGAATAGCCTGAAGAAGATGGTGAACCTGACAGAACTAGAGCTCATTCGCTGTGATCTGGAGCGCATACCGCACTCGATCTTCAGTTTGCACAACTTGCAGGAGATCGATCTGAAGGACAACAACCTGAAGACGATTGAGGAGATCATCAGCTTTCAGCACCTTCATCGGCTGGTCTGCCTTAAGCTCTGGTACAACCAGATCGCCTACATTCCCATTCAGATTGGCACCCTGACAAACCTGGAGAAGCTGTACCTGAACAGGAACAAGATCGAAAAGATCCCCAGCCAGTTGTTTTATTGCCGCAAGCTGCGCATCTTGGACCTGAGCCATAACAACTTAACCTATATTCCGACTGACATTGGCTTCCTCCAGAACCTTCAGTACCTGGCAGTGACGGCCAACAGGGTGAGTACTTGAATTGTCCGTTTTAATCGTACATTTTGTTTTAGCCTTTCTCCTTTGAAATAATTAGTCTGTCACTGAAAATGTTGCTGTTGCACATTATAATCTCTTCCTTCCTGATCCCAACCCATCCTCTGTATCTTAAAATATAGATCGAGAGCCTGCCTAACGAGCTGTTTCAGTGCAAGAAGCTTCGCACTTTGAACTTGGGGAACAATTGCCTGCAGTCTCTGCCATCACGGTTTGGAGAGCTGACTGCGCTGACACAACTAGAGCTGAGAGGAAACCGTCTGGAGTGTCTGCCTGTGGAGCTGGGAGAGTGCAGACAGCTCAAGAGAACTGGTCTTGTTGTGGAGGAGGACCTGTTCAACACGCTGCCCACCGAGGTTAAAGAACAGTTGTGGAAAGCTGACAAAGAGCAAGTTTGAACTGGTCTATATCTGTGAGTGAAAACAGATTGTGACCACCTGGGCCTGGACACAAGAGGAACTCCCCATGAGTGCCCCAGAGGCCTCGTTGAAGCAGGCGGGAGTCTTGCTGCAGTGTCCTGCCAGTAAGGTTGGGTATTGACAACCAGTGCCAGTTCCATAGAACCAAAACACTGATTCTGGCAGCTCCTGGTTGTTCTCTTAGTCCATTTGATATTGTTATTCCTTTACAAACAACTTCTCAGGCCTTTACATTATAACCCAGTAATGATGCTTTTTAGCAATAATGTAGCAGTGCCATTGTGATCAAAAAAATCATGTGTTTACATTTTATGCTTCTTAATTATGGTTTAGAAGTCAAAGTATGCAAAACTATGGGCCAGCTTTTGCTAAAAAAAAAAAAAACAGAATAGACTACTGTTCAACACTAAAAACAGCAGGTTGGTGTCTAATTAAGATTTAATAGCTAATTAAAATATTCTTTCTACGACTGTTGGTTTGAAGGAACAAATTAGAGAGCAAAAAGCCTCCCCCTCTTTATTTCTGTCTACAGATAATAATCAAACTGTAGCCATCACTGATTCCAGTTGAGCTGTTATCAAACACCAACTTGTCTCATAACATGAGGATTAATTAGGAAATCAGGAGAAGTAAGACAGCAGACTCTTTTTTTTTTTTTTTTTTTTTTTTGGAACAGTGAAGCAGAAGTTCTGTCACAGCATTTGACAATTCATCTGATTGGATCATCAGATGTTATATTTATATATAGGGAATGACCAGTCACAACCACACTATACCGTGAAGTTAGCGATCCTGTAACCTGAGCCACTATCCAGTGAGTCAGGACAGAGGCTGCCACTTGGCTTTTGACACTCCGTTAATATTTGTTGTCCAGCGATGACACGAGGTAAATTAAAACTCTGCTGGTCGTTCTTTTCCTGCTCCGGAGCGATGACCTTCGGATACCTTTCAGAGCTCGGCTTGACACCGATTCGAAAAATCTTGAAAGCATGACGTGAATTCACAAATCAGGGCTCGCTAATGACCGGCCATGTCAAGGAAGGTGACGACAAGACCGTTAGCGGCGCGAGTGCTGAGATGTGCGACACTTGCCGAGAAAGTGTGATCCCAGCGCGGAGCTGACAGAGTGGTGGAGGGATTATCGGCTCTTTCTGGGGGAGGAAAGATGTGTGTTTGACCCGGCACTCGAGGAAAAGCAATTATTCTACTGAACGCTACTCACTGGACCAGCATTACAATTACATTAGTGAAGCATCCCATCAGGATAGCCGACCCTTACTGCAACTATACTTTTCAGTGGCAGTCGAGCAAAATCTATTAAATGGCAACGCTGCGTTTATATATATATATATATATATAATTTTATTTTCTTTGCAACGAATTGCACAAAACAAAATGAGCAAATCTGAGGAAAATGCAGAAAAGGTTTTGGATGAGATGTCGGAAGAATCCAGATGAAGGTTATATAGAATAACACAGTGCTGACAATATAATGGAGTCTCCAAATATTGGTAATATGTCTGAATTAAATGTAGATGCTTCGCTGAAACACTAGATTGGTTTATTGGATTTTATTCACGCTGCGGTGGATATTAAAGGAGCTACTCTACAAATAAGTAAAAGACAAGATATGCCCTCAAATCCCTTTTCTTAACACTTGGCCTTGAGTTTATTTAAGTTTATTATCGCATTCTAATTAGATTTTTCTACCTTATTAGGGTAGTTATTCTGTTCCTTTAATCTTACTGAACTGCATTACCCAGAATACCGTGCAGTGTTTAGTACAGATGTTCCCTCTTTATGGTGAATATTTAAATTGCTGCACATTAAATTGAGGGGAATATTTAATTGAATTTTTGCTGGTATAAAAGAACAATAATGGCCACTTTTTGAAAAGCTAATAGAGGTGAAATTTGAATACTTTTGCAAAAAACAAACAAACAAACAAGCTACATTCCATTTAATGATAAGAAAGAAAATGTCAATCCTGGAAATAATTTTGTTCCTAGAAAGATTTTGGGGTGTCATTATTTTTTCTGTCAGATTAGTTGCCTTAATTTTATTTTTTCCTTCTTCTTGTGGTGGGTTGTTTGTGTTACTTTTGTTGTAGCATTTATGGGGATGAACATTAATCATTGTAGTCCTGGCCTATATTTTGATGCAATTACTTGTCTGTCAAGATGCACTACTCAGCCCCGAATGACAACACGAGCATCAGGACAGGTTGTTTTTTTTTATTCATGTCGTTCCAAGTGATAAATGAGGCGGTCTCTTCTGTTGTAACCTCACCTTGTGACATTAGCTGTGTTCATTTTATTTTACGTAGGGCTACCCGATGGCAGGTTTAGTTCTCTTGCTGCTGACAACAACTACAGCATGAAGTCAGAAGGGAGTAAAAGGTGCACCAGATTCTTGGGTTTTTAGAGCTTAATTATTGAAGATACACAAACTTATTTTTGGAATGAAAGTAGAGCATTTTTATTCATTGATTTTTTTTTTCTTTGTTTTTGTGTTTCTTTTAGTACCAGATGCACCTCATGCAAAAATCTGTCCTTTCCAGGATATTAAAAAAAAAAAAAAAAAACATCAAAGATTGAAATGTTTTTTGTTAGAAAACAAAATCAAAGCCAGAATTACAAATTAATACATTGTGACGCCCTTATTTTGATTCACCAAACAAATGTTTGAAACGATTAAAACTTCCTGCGTCAAAGCCTCAAACTGTCTCAAAATCAGACGTTTTTATTTTTAGCATTTTTGATTTCACTGTTGTTATTTTCCCTTAAAAACATTTTCATCAGTAGTGAAAAGTTTTTTCCTGAGAGCGACTCTTCAGGAGCCGTGTTTTGCAACCATAAGCAAAGTCGTGCTACAAATATGGAATTTAAGATCAATGCACAGCTCAGACACAGCATAGTAGGGCTTCTTTTGTTCACCCAGAGAGGAAACAAAATAGTTTATGTTTTAATAAACCTAAGAAAACCTGGACAGTAGCAATATACAGTGTAGTCACTTGGTTGCAGATGCGTAGGAATAGTTTAAGCTACTTTCTTCAGTAATATATTTAACTATGCTGTAAGGTGCAATATTGCCTTTATATAAACCATATAGAGGGTCGTGGTCACTTAGTTTTCTAATGTGCATCGGCATTTTCTTTTCTCACATTGTTTTCAACTACAGGCAAACTTTAAATCGACGTGCATCACCGAGATCTTTGGTCCTAGAGAATGCTTTTGCACTACAGCACCTCTCCCACAGGTTCCATTTGACACGATATGATGGGATACAACATGCGTTTTGTATGTTTTACAACTGCGGGAAGTGAATGACTGCCAGCCATGAGATTAAAATGGTATTACGTTAGTATTTAAGCTTTATTTTTAGAACTGCTCTCAGAAAAAAAACAACACAAATTGATTTTGAAGTCCCAAGTGGAGCGTTTTAAATGACACCCAGAACACGTCAGCAATACGCCTCGGATTAAGACAATCAGCTGCTCTAATTAACATCAGAAAACCTAACGTCAGATGTAAAGCGTTGCACTGAGTACTGCAAGAAAGCGGTCAGTACATTAAGAAATACGTTGTGTAGGTTGATAGTAAAGTGGTATCAGTAACTAGATTAGGATTTTGTCTCATAGTCATTGTTAATCTTTAGTTCTCTGTATTTTTCCTCATTTTTTTGTTATTTGACTCATTCATGTTCCCGTTTTGACAGCTATTAGTATTATTACAGTATAACTAAATTTCTCAGGAAACCAGCTAGTACTCACTTATTTTTCTTTGAGTTGATTGCCTATTTTTTATTACACCTGATATATTTTGTTTTGTATTAATTTAAACAGTTGTGATAACATTTTTATATGCATTTGTATACATTCTTTTTCTAGTTTGGTGTATTTAATATTGACTGCTGGTTTAAAAAACAAAATGTGTTTTTAAAAGAGAAACCACTCGGTTAAACCTTGATTCTGTGTTTGTTTTTTTCTGTCATTGACCATGTGTTAATTGAGCTGTAACACGTCAGAGTTGTGTTTTTCATTGTGAGTAGCACTGGTGAAGTGTGAGTGTGTTTAGTGTTTTGTATGTTTGCATGATGGGACTTTTCTCACATCCCTGATTTCCCATGTTTGTCCTCCTTAGAAATCATTATTTTGAGTACAAAGTCATTTTCATTGTTCCCATGATCATTTACAATCATAGGTGATAAACACATTAGGTTTTGTGGAGTGTTTTGTTTGCCAAAAAAAAAAAAAGGTATTTTTCCTGAAAGTGAAAATCGTCAATGCAACAGTACTGACATGAACCATGCAACAGTGAGTGAGCATCCCGTTCCAACACGTGTCTCATCCTCTCTTGTACACCGTCCTCTAGGGTAAGAAAATAAAATAAAAGTGGTTGACAAAATTTGTCTTGGTCTCAGTTGGGTTTCTGATTCTGTCAGAAACTGGTCAGTGTGGTGGTTAAAATGTTTTGTTTTGGTCATTTGGAAGTTCTCTGGCGTCTTGCAGAACAACACCAGTTGCTGGATCATCTCCTGCAGTTTTATTTAGGACAATGCACCAGTTAATTTCTACTGACATGATAACAGAGGCGTCCTTCACTACCAAATGTCTCGGCGCCATCTTGTCAGTCTGGACTATTGTTATCTCTCTTTTATGCTTTTTGTATTCTTAAATAAAGTACCTATGTCGAATGAATAACTCCTAAGGCAAATCTGGTCGTACAAAATAATAAACAAATTTGTGCATCAAATGTTTACATTTATACACACGTCATCCCATACATCCCTAACTTTTTGCTGACAAATGTTTGTTTTTTTACATAAGCATGAATAACTTTAAAAAGTTAAAAACCTTGGTTAATGATCTGTCACTGTGATCCTGTCTGACAGCAATCCAAAGTAATGTGATATATGGCATATTAATCTACTAGTCAAGATTTATCCATTCCAGTCTCAGCAGGATATTTGCAGCAGTGAAACTGAGTGTATGGATGTTTTCTTTACCTATGTATAGATCATGACCTCTAATTATTAAAGTAAGTAACAAATATAGTTGCAGGAGCAATAAAAACACATTTAACACTTTTGTTTTAAGTTACTGTAGGTAAAAAAGAAAAATAAGCTCTCATTTAATTATGGACGTGGAGTTATTTGTGTGTTTTGTCGACAACTCAGACAGCAGATTTGGTCTGATGTTTATTAATAATATGATTTTTATAAATGTATTTCTCTATTGACATATAATAGTATGGGACTATATGGGTAAGCTTTTTCTCTTGAGATATCTAAAATATCAGTCACCAAGATAACTATTAAATATATGAAAACAAGTGTTTCCAATGGATGCATTTACATATGATTATAATGATGTAAATTATATAAAAAAGGCTAATAATAAGGCATGCAGATTGAGAACTAGGGATCTAGCAACCTGCACTTAATGTGACATGAATGTGGAATATGGACTAAGGTCAGAAAGAAAATGGGGTGACTTTTCTTTGCCTGGAGGACAATGTCTCACATTTTACAATAAAATAAACTGAAAATGGTGCAATTATCTGGCTACAGTCTACAGACAGCTGGAGACTGAGGGGACTTGGGGGTTAAGAGCCAACAAAGTCATTTTTAAACCAAAATAATACGTGTGCACAGAATCAAAATCACTTTGTTAATCCCAGAGGGGAAATTCTTACATTACAGTTACTCCCATTTAAAGCCTTGGAAATATGTAAAACAATACAAAATATATATGGATAAGCACAAGTAGAAAAATATGTCATATTATAGCTTTGCATAGGTCAGAGAAGTATAAGCATACACTGTATTTCACATTATAGGTGACCAAACAAACTCAAAGTCTGTAAAGGGCTTTTTTCTATATCAGGGACCTACTACAAAACAACTCAAAGATCTACACAACCTTTAAAAAAAAAAAAAATAAATAAATAACAAGCAAATCCAGTTTCCTTTTGACGTTTAAATGTCTATGAATTCCATGCGGAACCTTTCAGCGGGTAACTTTCTGCACACGGACATGTTTCTCCGACGCACTTGGTCACAGACGCAACGTTTGAAATGGTAAATTTCATTGTAGAAATTTCCAATACGTTATTGTCGAAAATAAATCAATTAAAGAGCTCGAAAAGTTAATAAATAATGTCGTGGTTTAACGAGGCTAATGTAGATACGAGCCGGTTTGCTAACTGCGTTTGTTTAGTGGCGTTTTTTACTGGTTTGCTTCAACAGACTAAGCTAGCAGCCAGGACTGAACTATACTGCGCCTCTTTAAAGTGAATGTTAACAATTTAACGATGTGTTTTTTTTCCTTTGTAAATGTCCAGGCTGTCACTCTTCACACAGATCTAGGAGAAATTAAAATCGAGTTGTTCTGTGAGCGCACTCCAAGAGCGTGTGAGGTGAGTTTCCTTCTGCCTTTAACGACTTTTAGCTGATCTATATGTTGTTTTCATGATGTGAAAATCAGCTAGCAGAGACTTTAAACTTCTTGATGTGCGTTAATGTACGTTGTGTGGGTTCTGGAATTGAAAAAACTGGGTAATTTGAGGTCCTATGTGTTTGTGTCTGCTGATAGAGGTTTCCCTATGGAGGCTTCACTATGTAAGAAACAACCACATCACTTTAGCAATAATCACACAGTGTTAGAATTCAGATCCTTTGCTTTGATAAAACTTTTACTACAGCAACGTAGAAGTACTCTATAACAGCTAAATATTCTGCATGAATAATCCCACATTCAGTCTATGCGTTACATTAATGCACAGCTCTTCAAATAGCCTTATTATCATCCTTTGCACATCTCAAGCTGTTGACACCATCAGCTGCGTCGTCTTGCACATTCTCAGGCAAATAATTTGCACATTCCTGCACACTGTCAACATTTCTGTTACTTTATATTACTTTTATACTTCTCTGGACGTGCTACACCTGCTGTGGTGACTCTCACTGTCTACTGATTTATAAAACTTGCCTTTTATTCTTTTATTCATCTTCAAAAAAATGGCTACATGTTGGTGTGTACTGTAGTGCACGAATACACACAGTGAGATTCCTTGTGTGTGAAAACTTACTTGGCAATGAAACAGATTCTTATTCCTATTGAACACAAAACTCTTTACAGCAAAATGAAGTTAAAAGATTGACGTTGAAGTTGTGGTTTGACCCCTCTGATATCCATCCATCCATTATCTATACACCGCTTAATCCTCACTAGGGTCGCTGGAGTCTATCCCAGCTGACTTAGGGTGAAGGCAGGAGACACCCTGGACAGGTCACCAGTCTATCACAGGGCTACACTTAGAGACAGACAACCAAGCACACTCACATTCACACCTACAGACAATTTAGAATCACCAATTAACCTCAACATGTTTTTGGACTGTGTGGGAGGAAGCCGGAGAACCCACACTGCACGGGGAGAACATGCAAACTCCACGCAGAAAGATTCCGGTGCAACTGGCAACCTTCTTGCTGCGAGGCAACAGTGCTAACCAACTGCGCCACCCTGCAGCCCCCCCTCTGATATATTATTTTAAATTATATCAGATTATGGACTACTTTATATGAGGGCGAAACGATTAAAAATCATATAAAGCAGACTTAAAAGCCTCAGTTCAATATTTGTTGTGTAAATACTGTATAAAGTACAACATTTCCCTCTGAGATGTAGTGGAGCTGAACTACAAAGTAGTATATAATGGAATTGCTCGAGAGAAAAAAAAAGTGCAAGTACCTCAAAATTATACTTAAACACAGTACTTGAATAAATGTACTCCACCACTGTATCATCATTGTTTTGGTTTTAACTGTAGTTTGTTGCCGTGTGGGAGACTCACAGACCCCGAAATTTTATTTTCCAGAACTTTCTTGCTCTGTGTGCCAGCGGGTTCTACAATGGTTCCATCTTCCACAGAAACATTAAAGGCTTCATGGTTCAGACTGGAGACCCGACAGGTATGAGGCTGTTCTTGCATCTGATCAGTACCTGAAATGTCAAAATTCACGTTTACTTCCTGTTCATTTTATGAATCGATCCAGGCACGGGTAAAGGAGGAACAAGCATATGGGGTCGCAAATTCGAAGATGAGTTCAGTGAACACTTGAAAGTGAGTAAACTCTTGAGGTAGTAGGCCTAAGTTTTATCTAAATAGATTCTCAGGAGCCAGTGCTGACCTTTGTGTTCCCATTTCTTTCAGCATAACGTAAGAGGAGTGGTCTCAATGGCCAACAACGGCCCAAACACGAATGGCTCCCAGTTTTTCTTCACGTACGCCAAACAGCCTCATCTGGACATGAAGTACACCGCCTTCGGAAAGTACGTAACTTACACCTGCCAGTGAAAAGATGTATGATTACATGAGATGGCATCACAGAGAACAGAACTGATGGGAACCTCAGTTAATTTTATGCTGTTTGCTGACATCTCCCTCTCTGTAACATGCAGGATTATCGATGGCTTGGAAACACTGGACGAACTGGAGAAGCTGCCCGTGAATGAGAAGACGTTCCGACCGCTGACTGAAACCCGCATAAAAGATGTGACCATTCATGCTAACCCTTTTGCTGGGTAGCTGACTTCAGAAATACAGAAAGGCCTTTAATGCAGACGTGGACCCTGGTATTTCCTATAAGTCAGTTTATACAGCGCGGGGAGCCTTGCCAAAGTTAAAACGGATAACTTGTCAGAGGGTAGAAATTGAAGAGAAAACCACCCAGACATTGATGGTTGACAGCGTACTGACTGTGAAGCGGCAAAGTGCTGAGTTGTCTTTAACAAAATTCATGTTTGATACATCAGCTTCTCCAAGTAGGAATGATATCACAGAGTTGAATTTTACTGTCACTGTCCCTGAAGTGGTGCCAGATTTTGTAACGTAAAGCGACAGTGCGGGACTTTAACTTATAAATGAACGTCCATTACATTCAACCCCGTTCCCAGTGAGTTCACACAACACTGACTAAGCTTATCGGTACAAGTAAATCTCTCTGTATTTGGCAGTATATTGGAGTTTTGAATTATGTGTCTGGCAACGTTTATGCACTGGCGCACCAGTTGCAAAACATTTCACGTCAACCAGCAATGACTGGCTGGGAGCAAATGTAGCGACGAAGATCGACAAGGTTACAGCAACTGAGAAACGTTTGTGATGCTCCAAATGAGAAAGAAACTTGGAAGGATTACAGTCTAAAAAAGGACGGGATCGTCAGTGAGGCTTACGTCATGAACACGCTTGAGAGTGTCTTTGTGTTTACTCACTGTCAAAAGAGAGAAAAGTGCCGCCCTGCAGGTTTAATGTATAATTCAGGGGGAATCGTTGACTGTAAATAAAAGATGGATGTTGCCATCATGATGTCACCCCTTGTGGAGTACCATTCTGAAGCCTAGAGTTTGAATTTGGCCACCCCAGATTGGTCTTTTTAAACCAGATGTAATGAGCAAATTGTGCATCTGATTGAGAACTCAAAAACATCATGCACGCTGATACAGTAGCAACCTGTCAATCACAAGGTAGCCCCGCCTTTAAGCATACATTACCTACTTGCCTGTTTTACTTTAAACAAAACCATCACACCGCATTGAGGAGGATATGAAAGCATTGATGGAGATCTGAAAAATGTTCACTGAGGTATCAAATCACAGCAGAAGTCCCATAGACTTCTATACAATTTGACTTCTTAGGAGTCGCCCCCTGCTGCCTCTTAGAAAGAATGCAGGTTTGAGCCACTTCGTCTGACTCCTTGATTGTAGACTGCAGGGTTAAACCTGCCTCTGGCCATGCATTTCACCCAACGTTCTCCTTCCCTTACCCTAACCACATGTTATTGTTTTCAAAATTATCCTGCTACAGAAAATCACAACAACCTCGAGGATAATTCTGCAGAAGGTTTGGCTCATGAGATAAAGCAGCCTTGCTATTTTTATTTCTAATTTTAGGTGAATTATGAATTCTAGTGACAGCACTTGGCTCCTTGCGTGCAAATGTTCTACGAAATGCCCTCTCACTGTTTAAATGGGACACCATTCCTGCATCCTGGGCTTAGCACCGCCGAAGACGATGTAATCAGTTTAACGAAATACAGACAAGCCAGAAGTCCTTTTTTCCCCCTTTGTAGCAAAATGATGAAGAGATGCAGCCAGACCATTCTTTACAGTGCTAGATAATGAATACTCTGATTGTGTGAAACTATTTTTTTTTTTACATTGATTTGACTTTTCAGACTCTGACGCTTCATCCATCTTTTATATAGTCTACTGGACGAGAATGCTTCCTCTATTTTGTTGCTGCAAATGATAAATAAAATGGCTAGTATCCTCTTTAAGCATATTTTGAAGTGACAAAGCCTCCATCATAAAGTTTAGATTGTCCAAAGGAACACCTTTCTATGTGTCCACAACTCAGTCCAGGAAGAAACCACGTCTGTCATTGTGCAACACTTCTGTTTTTCTCTTGTAAATAAATTGCCAGTGTTTTGTACTAAATAAAACTTTTATAATCGCTATATTTTGCACCCTTTTTGTATCATTTAAAGATACTTAGTTCATGCAAAGACACGTATTTTGAAATGTCTCCTGTTGTCCCGGAGCAGAGCCGTGTTGTAGTCCTATCCATATGGACTACAAATGAGAGCAGGGATTGACGTCATCAGTAGTGGACAAAGCATGGTTGTAGGAAGTTCATGCTAAGTACATATATGCAAACGGGGCAGAAATCATGGCCTCAGTCGATGCATTTAAAGTATGTTTGCGTGTATTTTGTAGTCACTTCTAGTCTAGTGTGAACCAAATAGTCAATCCATGCTTGTTAAGGTATCGTTTTGACATATGATGGATTTCTTCATTGGTTTGTGCATTTTAGGTGTCTTCCCTGAAGGGGAAAGTGACCCTGATAACGGGTGCCAGCTCGGGCATCGGTGCAGGTACGAGCGTCCTGTTCGCCAAACTCGGAGCTCTGCTGGCGCTGAACGGCCGCGACGTGGAAAACCTGCAGAAGATCGCCAAGCAGTGCACCGAGTGTGGAGCTGCACAGGTACACACCAGTACAGTTTGACTAAGAGTTTAAAAGGTGTGCCGATATGTTGACACTGTGGCAAAATGTACTTAAATGTAGTTGTTTTTCGTGTGAGTTTGATTATGTAATGATGTTAAGGTGAGACACTTTAAATTTGTGCTTTTTTGAATGGAGTTTGGTGTGGCAGATGAGTCCTATTGTTGAAGTGGGGCAACTTAACCCTACACATTTCCTCACTGTGGGATCAAAAAAGACTTATTGTGTCATATGCAGCATATATATCTAGATATATATATATGTATAGATATATATAAAAAGTGTGCAACATCACTGCAATAACACCAGTGTATTATGAATATTTTATACGTTTTAAAGACTGTACAATGCATTATAAATGTATTTTTACATCTTCAAAAATCTGTGCGAAAACAATAAAATCTGTGCAATATTCTATGTTTTTCTACATATAGAATAACGCTGTGAAATGTAATCATTTTGCACATTTGGAGGAATCTGTGCAAAACATGAGTTTCTACACATGAAAGAATCTGTACAATATCAACAGTACATGATTTTTTTTTTCTATTTTATTTCTCTACTAATGTCCCAACATTTTTGTACTTCTCCCCTTTATTGATATAACACAAAACATTTCCTCGCTGTTAAGTTAATAGAGGCTTATTTTATCTTATAACATAAGTAGTGGCCTTTTTTAAAAAATATATATATATATCATTCAGACATTACAGCTTTTAAAAAGGGGATTTTTTTTCTCTAGTTGTTTAGTTTAGCATGACTAACTTAATGCCACCTGTACTGAATTACGTTTGAAGTCATTGCTTCATGCATCACTGTGCAGCCGTTGCTTGTTCCTGGAGACCTGACCGACGAGGAGACGGTGAAGAAGACAGTGGAGCAAACCATCGCTCACTTCGGCCGGCTGGATGTTCTGGTCAACAGCGCTGGGATCCTGGCGATGGGCAGCATCGAGACAACGGACCTGGCTCAGTACGACAGAGTCATGAACATCAACGTCAGGTAGGAGGTCACACACCTGCTGCTGCTCATACAGCAGTGCATCTTGGGAGTTAGCTGGCTATAAACATGTTTGGATGGACGAAGAGGGCCAGGAGAAATACGGCATCGTGCATACATATCTGTTCTTAGGAATGAGTAGAAGAATCAGCCCTTTCTTCAAAGTTAAACAGAATTATGAAGAAAATCCCACTTTGTGCACCTTTTGTTTGAGGACGCCTTTTACATTTTTTAAAGAGAAGATAGAACTTCATTATCCCAAAGCAAATTCTTGTGCCAGATATTGCTCAGAAAACATTGCAGTAAAATGAGGATAAATGTCACCTTTAATAGAAAAGCAATCAGAGATAACTATGATATATTACTCAGACTGATATGTCAGATGCTAATAAGACCGTAATAGTGCGAATGATTTTGACATTTTTGTTCAGTTTAAAGAATCCAATGTTTCAGCTGCTTTTCCTGCAGAAAGGGGAGGAGTTGTACAGTTAGATGGTAGAAAAGGCTGCACGTCTGTGGTCTCAGTCTGTGGTTAAAGGTGCTCTGATGTGACACCAGTGTGGTTTGTAGGGGATGAGCGCTGTTGTCCATAACCTTGAGTAGTTTCCTCAGAGTCCTCCTGGGAGACTCCAGCTCCACTTCAACGACTCAACCAGCTTTCCTGATAATCACCACAGCAAACTAAATACCACATCAAAATGAAACCAAATACAACAACTTAAAGCCTTGTGGAATGCAAAAAAAGAGATTAAAGTGTACTGACATCAAAAGTTGGCATTTTATGCAAGAGAGAAAAGAAAGGAAGTAAAAAGGATTTAATATACCCTTTTCATTTGTCTCTTGCATATATGTCACCCCAGTTAAATGCTAACTTCTTATCTCATTTTCAATTAACCTTTTCTGCCATTCATATATTTTTAATGCCACTATTTCAGCTCAGGATCTGTGACGCTCATCTGGCTCACCGATAACTTATTTTTAGCTGAAAATACTCTGCAGATGCATCATGTGTTGGTGTTTCATTAACCTGCGGTAAATACTTGTTTCCTCGTTGTCGAGTGTGCTACAGTCCAAAAACATGCTGAGGTTCATTGGTGATTCTAAATTGCCCATAGGTGAATGTGAGTGTGCTTGGTTGTCTGTCTCTAAGTGTAGCCCTGTGATAGACTGGTGACCTGTCCAGGGTGTCCCCTGCCTTCGCCCTGAGTCAGGACCCTAGTGAGGATTAAATGGTGTATAGATAATGGATGGATGGACCAAAAATTGAGATATTGACCCGTAATCTAACTGTGCTACTGTTATTATACAAAGTCCGGCCTGACTGTGTCGACATATAGATGAGCTTGGTTGACGTTTTAGTGTAAATGTTTTTCTCTCTCTTCATAAACTAAGCCAATCTATTCACTTACTGAAGGCACATCCTTTCTGAGCCACTACCTGGTCAAATGTCTTTTTCTTTTTTCTTTTTTTTTGCGGGCCACTAATACCGTTCTCAGCAGGTATTTATCTTGGTCTGCCCGTTGGAGCGCTTCCAGGTCACAGAGATGCATTAGTCGGATGTCAAGTGTAATTTTCATCCCAGAAACTGCCTCCTGGATGCTGCGATCATTTTCTGTAGAACGGAGCCAAAGAGAGGCGAATCTGAAAAATGTCAGCGGGGTCAGAAAAATGACATTTTGAATGTTATTTGAATTCTTGTAAACAGCTTAAATGTTCAATACAGAGAGATAAATCGTGGCATAAAAGGATAGATGTTTTATTTGGTTATTTAAGCAATAAGGAAATATTGTTTGCTGCTTTATGTCCACAGTATGTGCATGCTTGCTTTGCTAAATGTCAATATAACCATTATTACACTGTATGGATACAGTAGATGTAATTGAAAGTCATTGATTGTTTTTAGGGACACGGCGTCCTTTCGAAGCAGAATATGAATTTTTATAGTACCCATAATCTACTGTGGGACTGGCCACTGCATTTATCACTGCATTAAATCAGTTTGTGCAGTAAACAAAGGCAAACATTTAAACAAAACTGTACAAGGGGGGGAAAGAAAGAAAGAAAAAAAAAAAAGAAAGCCTGCTGTGCTCACCCACAGATTTCTCTGCAGAGGACATCAGCCCACGCCGCCGTAAATCCACAGGAACATTAGTCCAGCGGCACCGCTCAGCAGCCAGCTGATCTAAATGTCGCAGGATGAATGCGTGGTCGTTGGTGTGATGCTGCTGTTATCGCACTGGTGGATCCCATCGCAGTTGTTAGGATGGAACCGTCTTTTACAGCCTTCAGAAGACAGTTGATAAAGTCATAACTTTATCTTCACAAGTGTATTTTTTGTCATTTTTATGTGAACCTGTGTTTCATGTTGCAGATCTGTGTATCACCTGACTCAACAGTGTGTGCCACATCTGATCGAGACCAAAGGCTCCATCGTCAACGTATCCAGCGTCAATGGACAGAGATCGGTGAGTGTTATGCATCTGGACTCTATATTTCAGCAGCACAGTCCACGTGTAGTGTGTTTTTTTAGATACTGTATATTAAGAGGTGTGATTTCTCTCTCTGCAGTTCCCTGGTGTTTTGGCTTATTGCATGTCCAAGTCAGCCATTGACCAGTTCACACGTTGTATAGCACTTGGTGAGTTGAGCCATTTTATCCTGTCAAAGTTCAAAAGAGCACTTTAGCACAAAATATCACCCACCTGCTTTTTATTTCAGAGCTGGCGTCAAAGCAAGTCCGAGTGAACTCTGTCTGGTACGTGAAATAAACATTTTATAGCTGCACGAGTTCACGTTCACATTCCTCCTCATTCTTTATGTAGTTTATGTGCCATTTGATGTGATGGTGACTGATGGCGTTGAGGCGGAGGGTTTCTTTTGTACTGTTTCATATTACTGGTTTTATCCCTCCAGTCCTGGTGTGATCATCACAGACGTCCACAAGAGAGCAGGGCTGGATGAGGAGCAGTACGCTCAGGTAACACATCAGGATAATGTATGTTGACACTTTATGTGCAGGAAAGCTGTGGCATCTTGGTCATTCATTTTAAAAGTCTCATATAGTGGACATCTCTTTTTATTGTGGTTGTTGGTAAAAACCTTAATATACAGAGACATTTTCTACTGCCATCCCCACAACTAGATAGCATCCCAACTTACAAGCCCATCATAACTTTCCTGAGCTGTTTGCCAACTTATAAATCAATAGCCGTCTACTCAGACTTTGTATGATCCCTTCTTTCTAAGGCTGCTTCTGCTAACTCTAAAATGCCTTAACCACGAGCAAAACACACCAAATGTTCTGCTGTTGGCTGCAAGAGTGAACAAAAAAGTTTTTGTGCACTCCCAGCATCTGAGGAACTGAACATCTAGTGGATCACTTGATGGCAATGCAACCACAACAATCCTTATTGTTCGTGTGTTGTGCTGCTAATAGAATAGAATAGAATGCTTTTTATTGTCATCATACACAAAGTACAACAAAATTAAAATGTGGCTATCATTACTATTAGCTCTGGTCAGACAGTGTTTATGTCTGTTGGCTTCTCTCCTGCTCTCTGTGCACACACATATGCTGCCTTTTCATACAACTGACTTTGCAATAAATCTGTTTTTATTTCCTTGTTTTACTCATTTTGTTGTCAGGCAACAAGGCGAGTGTGAAACTGACTGAAAGCACCACTTTAAGACGACATGTTAACAGACTGTCACTTCAGAGCTACTCCCAAACTGCACCAATAAAGTGCTGTTTTTCATTATCTAACACACTCGTCATACACTTGATTTCTAAATGAATAGCTGAGCTCTGAATTCAGCTGTGATCTCTCAGAGAGATGGCTAGAAGCGATGGAAAGTACTCAGGGCTGTACTATGAAGCGAGATGAGTGGGTTAGCGAGGTTTGTTGAGCTTCAAGTCAGAGTTTTCAGTGTTATGAAGGTGGCTCTCTGTTTACTGCTAGATCTCCATGGTAACTGATGCTGTGGTGCTAACCTGATCAGGTTATGTTCAGAGTTTAGTTGGCGATGCAGAAATCACATAAATAAGTCCATTTGCTCTGCTGGTGCTGCAGCTGATAGAACACTGATGAGAAAATGGATTATTCTGCTGGTATTTATTACAGAGAATATTCAATCAATAACTTTAATTTCACTTTGATTTGGCCAAAAAAACTAAAGAGATATCCTGCATTCTGGGACTGTGTCAGACCTAAATTCACTTCAATACAAGATCATATTTAAATATATTAAGTTTAACTTAAGCTGGCAGTTGGAAATAATCGGCTGCACCGGTAAAATATTCTATATCAACATGTTTAACAGTTTTCTACCAGCATTTCTGTCTTGCACCATTTGCAGTAGCGCTGCTTTTTACCGTCGTAAATCTTTATGTTCCTCAGTGCTCTCCATGAAAACAACATGTTGACTGAAGCAGCTGCACACGATCGATTCATTTGGTTCAGAAGAAGAGTCATGTGACGTGGCGTTAAACACCATTTTTATGTGAACGCGCTCAGAGTGAAGCAGAAAGTCTGAGCTGACAAAGATGATAACCACCTTCATACTCATTAGCCCTGATTGCGGCTTTAATTTTTACACAAAGAAAGCCCGGCTATGTCAAACTTGCTTCGTATTACAGCCCTCTGGTCTCACACACTCATGCAGAGAGAGTCTTCTTCCTGAATGTTGGCGTGGACAACAGCAGCTCAGCTGTATTTAAAGCTACAGGCGCTAAAACAGCCTATTTAGAACATGGATAAAACCAGGAGTCATGCAGTCATGGTGAAATTACCCATTTCGAGCTAAAAAAAAAAAAAAAACACATTCTAAAGACGTGAAATTTCCACTAATTTTCTGAAAAGAGACGCAATATGGGATCATGATCTGTAAAAGCGAAATCATCCCAAACGTCTTGTTTTTATTTCTTCAGACAACTAGCAAATAAATCTAAACATACCCAAAGGATCATCTTTAATTTATTCATTTCTAATCCTTGTTCTGTCTTTTTTTTTGCCACCAGTTTCTTGCCAAGTGTAAGCAGACCCACGCTCTGGGACGGCCAGGCGAGGTGGACGAAGTGGCCCACAGCATCGCCTTCCTGGCATCTGACGCCGCCAGCTTCATCACCGGAGTCAACCTGCCCATCGATGGGGGTCGCCACGCTATGTGCCCGAGATAAATCAACATACGGAAATCTGCTAATATAGTACTTTCAAACTTCAAGTCTGCTTGTGTTTTTGTGTCGCACAAGGCTGCAGTCGGTTTGAACGACTCCCCGACAACACCGCTGTAGCAGGACTTAACATTTCCAGGTGTGAAATGAACAGAAGGAAGCTAAAATTAACTTTATTTCGTCACTTTATGTTTTTTTTTTCCTTCAAAAAAAGAAAACTGAAAGCTGCTTATCAACAGAGGTTTCAAGACTTTTATTGAATTACCTGCTGAGTCATCAAGACTTCATTCACGCTGTATAAAATGCCTGTACAGACCAAACACTGTGAGCTTGTGTACCGTGGTAGTTTAGTGTTGTGTAGTGTAAGAAATCCTCTGAGTTTACAGATTGGTGGGACCAACCATCCTTGCTGCATATTTTCGCCGTAATCTTTAAAGCTCCAAATCACCAAAAACATGAACTGAAAACACGACTTGGACGCCTGGTTTTTGAACTAATCAGAATTTTAAATAATCTTTAAATAGAATCCACCGATAATAAAAGGTTGCATAATTATACATTTACATTTTTGACAAAAAAAAAAACAAACTTAACTTATAGTGTCGGACTCGTACAAAGAATATTGAAAGTGTTAAAATAATACCTTGAAAATATAATTTAAGAAATCGTGGCCTGCATGCGTATTTTACAGTCTTCCCTTTTGAAGCACAGACGAGAGAGTTTATGGTTCGAGTGTCAACTGTTGCAGCACCGGGTGTCACCTCTGGATTTTATCGGGTGAAGGTGTGTTCGCCGTGAGATGAGAGGTGCAGTACGAGGTAGCATCTTGACACTTTTCTCAGTTCATACTGTCGAAATCTTAACAATGAAAAGCACCACACAGCAGTTGTTCGTGTGAAGATATAAACATGGCGTCTCTCAGCACTAGACAGTTCGTAGAGGCTCAAAAAAAAAAAAAGACTCGCCTGGAGACAGTACGTGTGTGTCTGAGGCACACTGTATACCTGAATGAGTGATTTGAAGTTGAAACCGTGTATCCCTAAAGACTGTGAAACAATGACTATTGCACTTTATATTACAATATACAGTACATATACATGTATAAATAATACTTAAAAAAAATTTAAAATAGGTGTTGTTGAATTTGCAGATGTAACTGTTCCATATTTCTGTACAGATCTCTTAAAAAACTTTTTTTTTTTCTTTGCCATCAGACCGTGAAGAAAATATGATACAACATGGTCCAAGAGATGAAAGAGTCGCTCATATTACTTCCTTCCAAAAGGGGCATCCAGCTCTCGAGCAAGTCTCTAAAAAAAAACACCAAAAAACAAAAAAAAAGGAGCTTATGATGATTGTTTTCCATAGGCTGATTAATGCCAGAAGTCTTATCTCTGCAATCCCAATGGTCCGTCTTTATCTGGCGCCCCTCCTGTTTCTGCAGTCCGAGCATATTTTGTGAAAAGAAAGTAGGGAGGGAGAGGTTTGTTGTTCCAGAAAAACCACAGGAGCGTCAGTCTCTCCTCCCAAAAAAAATCCAAAAATCTTCCACGCAGTCCCCCCTTTGAGGGAGTGTTCAGGCCCTTCCACAGGGCCGTTACAGGAAGCACACAGGTCCGACCTCCAGGTGATAGCGCGAGCCGGGCTCCGCAGTCGGCAGGTTGTACACGTCCACGACGGGGAGTAAGTTTGGGTCCTGGCTCTGGAAGATGAAGTGCGTCTGGTGCCAGCGTCCATCTTTGATCTGGAAGGTAGGATTGCATTATGTCACCGTGGCGTCGTCTTTCAGCTACATAGTTCTGCCTTCACCAAATAGAATCAACTGAGAACGGGAAATTAAATAGCAGCTTGGCTGATCTGAATAATGCACCAGTTATTCTGGATGATCCACAGACATCAGTGGGAGCAGCTTTCATTGGAGCTAATTTCTACTAAAGAAACCCAGAGACCTCTGATGATGAGGCCTGTGCGTTATCCAAAGTAACACGGCCGATGTTTATGGGAAAGCTCGTGCTGTTTGGTTTTTTGATGCTGGGATGCACTACATAGGGTTGAAAATATTAGAGCTACCATAGATACGACAGAGCCACTTCAAGATCACCCAGGATTTTTTTGACGACTACTTTTGCTGTACGTTTTCATATTATGCTTTACATTCCTTCTGATCCACATAAACAGTTGCTGTGTTTGTCCAGTCCAGTTATAATAAACTCCGCAGATCCTACAGAAAGGATGTGATATTTGCATTTACCCCTCATTATTCATTTTAAAATGCCATTTTCCGACACCATCCAGCTGCCGGCTGCGAGCACAGCTGCAGCCTCTCGGCCTGGCCGCGGCGGTGAAGCTGGATGTATGGTTATATTTCAGACTCTGGCTGCTGCCGTGGTTCAGTCTGTGCTTACTGTGGATGTGTCCGGCTGTTGCTATTTGTACCTGCAGCGTTTCTGTGACAGATGTGTTTGTTTATTCAGGAGTTCAGGAATACAGTAGCTTCAACACAACGCTCAGCCAGCAAAAACTGTCAGCGCCGCCGCCTGTAGTCAGAGTTAGAACCTTCAGAAGCGAATGTGTCACAAGTAGCAACAATGGCCACGGCCTCGGCTGCAGTGACAGCTATGTCATCTCAAGGCTGCAGCCGTACAGCGAGAGAGCTGCTGAACCAGCTGCTCTGGTTCTCTGTTTTTATTGCAGTGGTACAGACTAGTATCTGAGCAACCACAGCTGAGGGTGTGACTACTGGCTGTGTGTTAGTCACAGCCAGCAGCGGTCTATAGGCTGCATGACACCGTATCACCTCACAGCTCATACAGTTATACCTACAGAGAGAGTCGATGCATCCTCAGCTGTGTAGTTACAATTACACGTTCATAGTGTGAACACTGACTACTGCTGGCTGTGTGAGTGCAGTGATAGTCGAGCTGGCTGCTCCATAAACACATCTGGCAGACGTATCTATAGCCTCAGCTTCACCGTGCAGTCAGAGCAGCTGCAGCTGTGCTCGCAAACAGCAGCTGGACACTGTCGGCGATTTTAAGATGAATAATGCGCAATAAATGCATCGCGTAAAATCTCACACGTCTCTCCTTTCTGTCGAATCTGCAGCGTTTTCCCTGAGCAGGCTGTGTTTTATAAGCGGGCTGGACCAGCATGCCAACTGTTCATATGGATCAGAGGGAATGTAAAGCATCCTGCAGGGGAACAAGATTGAACAAATATTCTCACCGTGACCCTTTCAGTGCTCCATGAGGTACTTAGATGTAAGTGAGAAAATATGTTTCATTCGCAATGCAGGCGCTTTGCCTTGCTGAGCATAAAGACGGACTGGTTCTCTACAAATCTGGTCTAGCTGCCCCTCTGTAGCATGCACTAATCAATGCATTGTATATTGTTTGTTTAATCAGGATGCACGACTGTAAAAACACCAACTTGTGTTTTTGCGGGGAGTCGTTCACTGAGCTGCACGGATGCTCCAAGACATCTTTCCAGCACCGTAACTCCCTGTCACTGTTTTTACATTTCTTGCTGTGTGCACATTCAGTTAATACAGTCTGCATTATTTAATGGTTATACTCAGTGACGTCTCTTTAAACTTTGGACAGAGTAAAGCTCAGTTTCTAATCTTCATATTAAACTAACTGCCTGCTGGCTCCAGCTTCACACGTACAAAACGACACAAGTGTAACATTGATCAAGTTCAAGTAAATTTTCCAACATGCTGAACTCTTCCTTTTGAGGTTGTAGACACTGTGGACATTTTTGAAAAGATTGAGCATCGCATTGATTTTTCTGCCAGAAAGCAGCAAGAGTGCATACCCAGCAGTCGTCTCTGGGTATGAGCGGCTCCAGGAGGTCTCCTGCCTGAATCTTCTCCCCGCTCCAGGCCTTGAAGCTCACTGCTCTGGGTGAAGGTTGCAGGGAGGGTCCTGCTGCCCACACGGACGTGTTGAGGCAGTGGATGACGACGTGCTGCACAGCCTCCGTGCTCAAGAGGTGGATGAAGTTCATCTGGATGCGGCCCACTCCTATTTCCAGCTGTGAAGCAAGTGGATTTGTGTCAAGCTGTGTCAAGACGATGACAAAACGGCGTGAATGCCTAATGTTGTGTTTACCAGCCTATAGAGGGCCTCATTAGGCTTCATCCGCATTCTGATCATACATAAGGTTTGATTCTTTTGACCATAAATTTTGATGTTCATCCAGAATAACATATTCAGCACAACTGAAAAAAAATTGGCTCAGTCGAATTTTTTTTAATAATTTAGGTCCGTTTTAATGACAGTTCTTTTCACAAACATTCCTGATCAATAGTAATTTAAGAGTTAGTCTATGTAGCAGACGAACATGAACCCAATCAATTTGGAAGTTGATAACAGGTTCGAGTTCTGCAATGAATTTAAATAATATGCATCTGGATCACAGATTGTGCCTTAAGCATGACCAACTATTACAATCATTTCATTTGCGGTTTCTGCAGGAAACGGGTCGGTCCATACTTGTGTCATTGTGCACAATGTGCTGCTTTGTTGAAATATAACTCCAAAACAAAGGAATGAAGGGATGAAGGGCAATCGAAGCTTTAGTTGCCAACTGAGCGCACGTTTGATGGCGACTTGGCCAAGTCTGAAGACCAAATGGGACGCCTTGAGATTCACTGCTAGACTGATCCATCCAAATAAGCGCCAGAGTTTATCATATGGAGCCAGAAAATGAACAGCTGTGCTCCTTTATTTATCGCTTGACTGACATAATGCACACACATGGCTCATCTTAATCTCCGAGCTTTTTCGCTTCTTGAGGAATCCTTATTAAGACAACATGATGGGAAGAGTTTCCACAGAGACATAAACAATTGTGGATGTGATATTCATCCACTGTCTGCACAGTATGCATGTATTTACATTCTGCTGGCTCTTTTTGTCAAGATGAGGTGAATGGGTACAAATGCAGAGCCTAACCTTGGAGACTGTAACCGGTTTCAGGCAGGTCTGTCCTCCGCCGGTGAAGTTGCACGTCACCTCGATGGTGTCGGCAGCGCAGCCGAGGTTTGGATCAATCCAGTAAGTGCCTGTCAAAGAAGACAACCGATGTGATCAACCGAAACGCGGTCCATATGTGCACAGAAATGAGCTGTTTGAAATGCCTCCTCACCATCGTACATCCTCTGCTCGCAGTTGTAAAGGTCTCGGCAGATCCGGGCAGGATTGTCGCGGGTACCCAACGGGTTCTTAAGACTCTGGATCAGAGTGCTGAGATGCTGCAGGGTTTTAAAGATCTCTGTGCCCTGGTCCAGCATGGGCAGGTCCATGCTCTGGTAGTTCTGGTTTGAACACAATTATTGGCATAAGTTTTAGAAGTCTAATTTCTGTTACATTTTCTGAACTTTTGGTCAAAACTTTAGCGTTTTCTGCTACTGCAATGACCTAATTATTGTCAGTGAGGTGCAAGTTCTTCAAGCTTATCCAGAAATGTATATCAAGAATAGGATTAGGACTGACCTCTTGCCTCAGTACAGCATGGGAATCGATAATGACTTGAAAAGCAGCACCAAGAGCTTCATTTCTCTGCCAGAAAAAGACAACAAATCAGTAAGGTAACCATTTTTGTTCACACTTCATTCCAAAACACCCAGTTTAAAAAATCTGGAGAAACATACTTACAAGTAAAAGGGCAGAACTGGGAAGACCCTAGAAATAAACAGGAAAAGAACCTGTATTAACATAAATGTTCTTTTCCCTATTCTGTGTTTTTACCCACACAATGGAGCAGTTGTGTAAATCCTAATCTACACTGTCAGCGGTGATCAATTCCCACCCAATATGCAGATACTCGCAGACGTAGCCATGATTGCTCAGGAAATGAGGCATGAATGCACAGGAAATAAAGCATGTCAAATGCAGAAAAGAAGAGCCTCAAGCTGAAAGCTATTTGTTTTCAATTACAGTGGAAGAGGGGGGAAAAAAAGCAGGTCTAACTAGTTAGATTATCCTCAAAATAACACAATGTGCTCACAGTTAAACCGGCCTGTGGATGCACATGTGTGTATATTTTTCGATTTTCATCTGAAGTACAAGCTGCAACCAATTTTCTTCACAAAAACACATTCATCTGTCTGTAAATTCACCGAGAAACAACAGAAAAAACTGCCATTAGTGTAACCTAATCCTCACTTTCGAACCGCATTATTATAATTATGAAATTGCATTTGTACATTTTGATTTTTTTTTTAATAGGTAGTTGAGTCAAAACTTCGTCTGTTTGCTCTGAGTTTACTATTAGACTGCAAACCCCCTCTTCAGGACCAGACTCAGCAGTCTACCTGCATATAAAGTATAACGGACACTCTTTTGAGAACAGAAATGACCACATTCTGGAAAGAGAAGACATATTTTGAGAGAAGATTGAAGGAAGCCGCCTGTGTTAAACTGGAGTAGCCACTTATCAGGTACTTACAATGCAGTCTTGAGATGAAATGAAATGAAAATAAAATGAAAATGAAATGAAAAATACTTTATTTATCCCAGAAGGGAAATTCAATCTTGTAAAAGCTCACTTTTTAAAAAAAAAAATTCAATATAACATATATTATATACAACAATAATAATCATTCAGTCAGTCGGATTTGTTTTTTAAGGTGATGGCTGTTGGCAGGAAGGATCTGTCACCAGAAAGTTTCACCATCACTAACACCTTGATCACAACCATTCACGCCTCGATTCATGAGTCTCGGGTTCTTAACAAGCCTTTAAAATGTGATTGTGGAGGTGACTATATATATATCTGGGACTGACATACTGTCCTCATCTGAGAATCAACGACTGTAATTCACCTGCACGTTGCTGGAAAATGTGATTTTTTTTTTTACGCAAGTCTCGACTGAATTAGTAAAAATAAAAATGTCTTTTTTAAATATCTGTAAAATATACAAAAACTCACCGGTGGTCCAGGTGGTCCACGAGGGCCAGGAAATCCCTGGAAAAAAAAAAACAACCATCCCCACATTAGGTTTCAAATTATTTATAACTTGGCCTTGATAAAAGATGATATAGTTCCTTCATTTGTTCTCACACTGTGCAGAGAATAATGATGAAGCTACAGAGGTGAATAATTACTCACTCTTGGTCCTTGCAACCCCTGTTGGAGATGAGAGAAAATGGAACTTAATATTAATAAGTAGACAATCCCACAATTATAAAAATGAAAGCAGAGCAGATACTTCCACGTGATCACGGACAGCATAATGGCATCTTTGTGCTGCCAATCCAACACATGGTCTTTATCTACCATATTGTGTATTTCTATTGAATTTCCCTCCTGCTCCTTTGCAAGCCTACACTCAGAAATCTTATTTCCACACAGCAAATCCTATTTTCACACGGCAAAGCCCCATACATGAATGTTGGCGTTTTTCAAGAGTGAGGTTGTGAATTATGCCTGTGTACGAGCACTCAACAAACCTCTTAAAAAGCTTGAGATGAGCAAGCAGCCAACATTTATCACACTGACAGGATTTCCACAGCAGCTAAGTGTCACTGTGAGTGTAACAACAAACAGCGGAACACAATAGGAAATGAAAAGTGCTGGGGGCAAAAGGAGGCTGAGTGCTGTGCTGTCTCCATACTAAGTATCCTATTCTGTGCTCACAGTACAGACAGAAAAGGATTCATCAAAACAGCGCCACGCACCGTCTCCCCCCGACTTCCTTTGTCACCCTGGGGTCCCTGATGGAGAAAAAGAAGACAGAGGATCACTCCATCACTGCCAAAAAAGCACAGAGAAGTCACATAAAGCTTGGCAGATAGGATGAGATATGAGGTACATACAGGATGACCGCTGGGGCCAATGATGCCAACGGGGCCCAGAGCTCCCTCCATACCCTGGAAAGCAGAGGCGTGTTAGCGACCGAGGACACATATGATGGAGCATCTGATGAAGCAGTGCTTTATTTTTCATGCCAAGTGTGCAGTTTGTGAGCGCTGAGTGAACTGGCACCGGCTGAAATAGTGCGCCGAGTTGCCAAACTGCCATTAATCTTCATCTTACCATCAAACCTCGCGGTCCTTTTGGTCCCTGGATCCCTGCTGGGCCAATGTCTCCTGGAGGTCCCTGGAAACACACAAACATTTCACAGTTTTTTTAAAAAACAGAGGGTAAGAAATGGCAACGTAAAGGTTAAACTAGTAATAAGTAATCAATGACCTTTGCTGATGGCACTGAGTAGGATCTGTTACACTGACAGTCTCTGCGGTGGGGAAGTGGAAACCACCGGCGTAAAATGCTAAAGTGGCTGCAGGAGTGTCTTTAGTTGCAGTTCATTAGGTGGCAAATCTAAGAAAACTTCAAGTCCCAGTCCCATAACACATATAAATTACATACGCGTACTTTGCACTGACACAGCAAGTCATTTTATACTAACAAGAAATAATACGAGACCGTGAACCCACAAAGAGAAGTGCTTCTAAAAATGCTTCTCCTTTATCTCACTGCTTGCACTTTATTTCAATGGATTGCTGCTGTAAATTCGTATTATAATATAATATGTGCATCTAACACGCAAAAAAGTCAGACGGCTTAAGAAAATGTGTCAAATTATGTCACCTCACGAGAACACCCTGTCGGCGTCGCACCTACTCGGAATTAATACAGAGTAAAGTTGTGCTTGAAACAAACATCTTTCCTTGTGACTGGAGCTGTCAGTGTCGGTTTATCTTTTTGTTATTATTATGTGTTATTGATTTAGTGCGTGAAATGTAAAAAAAACAACAAAACAAAACAAAACCTGTGTAGTAATTGCAATTTTTTTAGAGTCTGAAATCCAAATGTAACAACACAGAAATGTTCTGTGGAAAATCTTCACATATTAAAAGTTACAGCTACATTTACACAAACATTTCCTGCTTAACGGCACATATGCAATCCACCCTGAAGTCGCTGTAAAATTATGTGGTTTGCCACAATAGCAC